CCCCAAAACCCCAAAACCCCAAAACCCCGTGAAGTCATCATTATGATTAAATTAGGTATTAAAGAATAGTCTTCATATATATTACTTAATATAGAATTTACTAGATTAAATTTACATAAAAACTTTGATGATGAATCTGTCAGCCACGTCTGCTGTACGAAGAAACTCATTATTTTCAAACCCCTAGGGATCATCCCATGATGGATCTATCCCTTCTCAAGATGATAACGATTAGAATTCTTATGATTCAATACATTAGCAAAAAGATAGAATTAGAGATTAAGAACCAAATGATTAAAATTCTTTGTCTAATTCTAGACTGGTTGTGGCAGAGGACAATATTGGGAGTGATCTACTCGTAAACTATAAGGAAAGTATGCCTGAGCATCTTAAAGAAAACTATTACTACTAGAAATAAAAGAGTTATGAATAGTACAATCCAGATATAGATCAAAGGACTTTGAGAGTACTAAAATCAGGAGGGTTTTGCTCTTAGTTGATGACGAACCTAACATACCTACTTAATGATATGAGGAAAAGAGACAGGCAGTTCCAAATCGGATTGATCTCAGTATTCATGGTGGTTGCCTTTACCACTCTTTTAACTGCCTTTGTGAACAGTACCCCATCACTATTCTTTATGGTTGCTCAGTCCAATTCAGGAGATTTTGATATCACTCTCACTGCTCTCGCTTAAGACAGTCAGTATGAATCTGGCAACACTAACTTCTACCTCGATTCGTAAATGATGACGTATTTTAACTTTTATTTAGTGCTAAAATGTTTGAAAAATCTGGTGTCTCTGACTAATACAGCGATTCTTAACCAAGATAGTATACAGTTGCCTCAATGATAGGGGGGTAATAGCTGCCCTTACTTAATCTCACTGCAATAAACAGAGAGATAAAAGATATTAGTGAGATTGACGGAGCCTATCCAAGATGGATAGCCTTAGCCTAGGTTGCTTGTCCAAAAAGCCCCGAACTCGGTGACACTGGTTCATTCATTGCCTATGGAGTAATATATCTTTAGTTTATTATTTTCAGGATTAAAAGCTAGAAAGAGACCTAGGTGTGTCTAATGGGTTCCCTACTAATCTCATGGGAAAGGACGACGCCATTGTTTCAAGAGATTTACTTGATATTTTTGGAATTGAAGTTGGAGATCAGATTCTAATAAAATATGAATTCTTAAGCTTTTTACCAGCTAGGTATGACATTTTCTCAACTATTATCTTTGATCAAATTCCTGAGGACCTCAACAAATAGAACCTAACTAGAGGATAACTCTTCTTGCAGACACTCAACTTGAAGCCAGACATTAAATTCTCAGAGTTTAGAGCCTATGTTAATAGAACATAGGGACCCTAGACATATATACTGGTTACTAATACTGCACTTTTACTTGGGTACAATGATAACACCCCTATTTCAGTAATACTTGAGGACTTTTTCAGATAGGTTTAAAGAGAAGACTTTATTCTTCAAAAGAATTATACTGTTATAGCTGTAAGCCATTCAGAGATTTTAAAATCCATTATAGGAAGTGACCAATACCTTTGGTAAGTGGCCAAGAGCTTTTGGAAATGCTGTCTTTATGGACTCAAACTACCTTTTTGAAAACTTCATAGAGATGCTTTATAAAAATACAGTTAGGCTTTCTGAAAGAAATGGTTATAGCATGAATATGCTAATCAGAACTGAAGATATCTTTGCCTATCTTAAGGACTTCCTACAGAATTAAACAATAAGTGAGTATGCAATGACTGTGAATATGCAGATCAAAGATAGAATGATGAAGTATAACTAAGATGGTGGCACTGAGATCATGGATTCTATTATCTTAGCCTATCAAAAGTAAACTCTATTTGAGACTAGTTCAGGCATTCTAAGTATTCAAGAAAAGACAAAGAATATATCGATGATGAAAGCTATGCTTACAGCTCTATTCATCAATATCATTTTCTTTATCTTCGTTCTAGCTTTTATCCTTAATCAATCTCTTGTCCAATCGGTAAGCCCATCAAACTTAAAAGTTATTAATTTCAAATAGGATGTTGAGGAAAGGACATATGAATTTGCGATGTTGAGGACTTTGGGATATTAGAAAAGATAGCTGGTACAATTGCTCTCTTTCCAAACTTTGTTCTTTTCAGTTCCAGGCTCAATCATCGGCTTCATAGTGATGATCCTTGCTCTTAGTGGGTTATAAATAGTAGTCTATGATGCAACAAAATTCTCTATATACTAAGAAGTTGGAATTTATACTGTTTTAGCGGTATTAATTTATATCATGTCTTAACTCTATTTCAGGGTATTTTAATGGGTATTTTAGTTCCGTTGATATCTAATTTTCTGCCTGTTAGATAAGCAATGGCTAAATCATTAAGAGATTCATTAGATGTCTACAGAAAATCAATTGATGATATAACTGTTACGATGACTAAGATTGAAAATATGGGAATCTCACCAATGCAGATGCTCATTGGAATAACTTTAACCATTTTTGGGTTCGTAGTATACTACTTTATCCCTTAGTCAATCATGAATATGAATTACGATCTGTTTTTCTTGCTTATTCTCTCAGTTCTGTTCACAATGGTCATTGGCATGTCCTTAATAAGTCAATCCTTTGTCAGTCCAATAGAGAGATTTGTTATTGCTCTAATAATTTTCTGCAAACCAGGGGATAGGAAACTTAAAGCAATCTTGTACAAAAATTTAAGATCGCATAAGATCAGAAACATGAAAACATCCTTGATGTTCACAATGACAATCTGCTTCCTAATGTACTCGAGCACCAGTTTTGCTGAGTTGGAGTATATGATGTTTTCACTTACTGGAGCTATTATTGGAGCTGATATCGCTTTGTTTAGATCTACTTCAATCGGAGGTAAGCCAATCACACTTGAAGAAAAAAAGCTCAATAATTACTTTGAACTGAATAGATTTTCAGCCCAAAACCCCAAAGGATTAGTTACATCATATTCCTATCTAGGTTAAACTGTAAACGAAATCTTGGTTAGTCCAGAGGGTTCAGACTTGAAAATAAAACTAGGTGTTAAAGGCCAGCAAAATTTCAAAGTAAAGGTTTATGGTATGCCTCGTGATCATCTTGAGATTTAAACTACTGAGTATTTCTACCCCACCTAAGTATGGGATGGTTACTCAGTCATGAACAAAACCTATCAATCAAATGAAGCAATGCACCTTATGTATGACCTTGGAAATTACAGTATAGTAAACCAATATGAAGACTCTTTACAAATAAGAAGTAACATCGATAGTTCTTAAAGAGAACAATTCAAGGTAGATGACACCATCATAAATGTTATTATCCCAGAGGCATTTGTTGGTATTTTACCCATCAAAGCAGGTGAGGAGATGGAGCTATGCATGAATGACGACTGTAAACTATCTTTCAGAGCAAGAGTAGTAGCAACAATCAGAAGAATTCCCGGTCTATTCGATGTCTCAGGCTATACTCCAACTGTATATATGTCACCAGGAGTCGTCATATCTTATGATCAAATGAATGTAATGATTAATGAATACATTTCAAGAAATCCTGAAGCTAAAACATAGTATGAAAGCTATATGGCCTCATAACCAACTTAGACTTCCTACAATATACCAAAGAAATCAGTGTACGTTAAAATCAGAGAAGATGCTGAAACCAAGGATATCAACAAAATCAAGAATAGCATGGTAAAGATTGCTGGAGAGACTAATGTATTTGCCTTTGATGTCAGATAGTTTAACAAGAGTTTGAAAGAGTACATGGTGATTATGTATCTAATGAGCAACATTATTGCTACTATACTTTTTATATTGACATTCTTCCAATTGATTGTTTCTATTTCAAGTAACATCAGAGACGATGAATGGGAACTTGGAGTACTAAGGTAAGAATATATATTCAATAAAACTTAAATAGAGCGATTGGATTGTAGAAATCAGACATAGTAAAGTTGACATTATACGAGTCAATAGCCAATATGTTCACATCAAGCGTCCTTGGATTTATTATCGGTATCATTAGTGCTACAGCCATGGCAGCTTTATTCCTAGCCATCGTTGAATTGCCTTTGAACTTGATTGTAAGTTATATTCGAATCTAATAATTTTGTATAGTTGTCCTTCCAATCAATAATATTGATGCTATTTATGACAATGTTCACTATAATAGTGGGCACATATCTCGGAACTAAGCAAATAAATAGCAAGTCAATAACTTCTGTGCTTAAAGGCGTTTGAACAAGGATCGAAATAAATCTCAGATTATTCAAAAGATATTATTATTTATTCTACATAATCTCGATTAAACTTTGAATTTTGAATCACGGGGTTTTGGGGTTTTGGGG